AACACGCTCTAGAATAGGCAAAATATATATTGAGGACAATTGAGTACTGAAATACTCAGTCCTGGTCGCTTCATACCACAGAAACCGGAGATTACCGTCGGTAGGCAGATAGACCACTTGGCTCGTGTGCACATTTCACCTAACTACTTATAACAAATCATCATTTTGTGAATATCCGTCGAGTTTGGAAGAAAGGCTGAAGAAAAGCCATGGAAAAACTTGAATTGGGCTGAACGAAAGGCGACTGCTGAAAAAATATTCCGTAGTCCACGAGGAAAAGAATTTTTTTCATCTCTTTATATATTTACATATGTAAATTTACAGGATTTTATAGAGACCAGACTTCATTTAAAACAATGCTGAAACATTTCCCTAACGACTACTCTACTACTACAGAAGCATATAACACCGTGTAATTTTAGGGGATCTTTACGAAAATTTTTAAAAGATTTATCTTCAAACTTTATGAACTTTGTTATCTTTTCATCGTGCAGGTCTACAAACACTAAGTCGAAAAACAATTGCAAAGCACTTGTCTGATTATGTTCTTTACTGCTTGTCTGACTTCTTCTAGCTTCCAACAGTAAAGAATTGGGTTTAATGAAGAGTTTAAGTAAGCTAGAGTGACTGCATAACACCACGCATTATACAGAGGTAAAGATCTTCCACCACTAGTCGCCAAAGCCGTCACTATACCAAGGGGTAGATAACAAGCGACCAGCGTCAGTTGTAGCCATATTGCAGTGGACACTGCTTTTTTGTATCGTGCTATGTTCAATTGATTTGTTTGGCTCGGTTGTTGAACATGCTCTTGAATTTGATTTTGATGGTTACGGAGGATGCAAAAAATCTTTGTATAAGAGAAAATCGAGGTTATAAGACTCAGTGGTAGACCTATGGTGCCATACCAAAAGGTTATAAGGGGATTCCAAATGTACATCGCTGAATAAACCGTGGACACAAACCAAAAGGCAATAACGATCACATGGACTCGGTTTAATGTTACAACTTGTCTGTATCTCAGTCCCAACAACAGGGCGAGAAGTCTGTCCACGCTTATTGCATCTAGAGTCAACAGTGACACCCCACACAAAATATTGCCTGTTATGAAGCCTGCCATCGATATGTAGTGACACATACTCCAGTGTTTATTCAGTGCAGATATCCGGCTGGTAACATAAAGAGGTTCTGCAATTAGACCAACA